CTAAATTACCATGTGGTTGTGGGAGCCAATCAGATTGGGCCTTGATCAAGTTTCAGATACTAAATATACATGGTGACCCTCTGGAAGACCACCTGTTCAGCAACCCCACAAAGAAAAGTTAAGCCGCATACACAGCTCATTCGTTTGGTTTCTGTCCCAAATCAAAACATAGCAAGAGCATCATCTCAATCAAATTGTCATCTCTTTGTGAAATATTTAATTTTCATATCCCAGCATGATGCGTAGGAAGAAATTCAGAATGATATCCCAAAGCTGGAAGAGTAGGATAGGCACATTCTTTAACTACAGAGCACTGTGGCTTCTCTGCTCTGTCTGGTACATATCTGATGTCTGGCATGTGGTGGATTAAAAAGATTAGCCAGTCAGGAGTAGGGTACTTGGTGCATTGTTCCCCTTTCAGCCATTCAAGTTGTAATACATCTTGGAGGGGACTGAAATAGGAACATAGAGTGCAGATACAAAGTACAGCAGAGTGTTTGCTCTCATCTGTGGCATCCCAGAAGGAATGTCAGATTCAGATTGTCAAAATTGAGCACTTAGATGCCCTGGAAACTGTGATCCCTGGCTCCCTGGCTCCCTGTGCATGAAGCTGACTTGTACAATTTAGCAATCACTTACTTATAAACACATCATGGATATGATCAGGGCTAAAAGCACCAGGAAGGAATTTTAATTCCAGCAGTCATCTAGAACAATGGTTGCCAAACTGTGGATACCCAAGTATTGTTCAGCTACAACTCCTAGAATATCTTACCATTGAACATGCTGGTTGGAGCTGAAGTCCAATAAAACATGGTGACACCAAGTTCAGAACTGGTGCTCTAGGGCAGTGCTTCTTAAAGTATCTGATATGGCTATTGGTTGTATTTTTCCCCCTTTCCTGGAAATTCACCAGGGGCCAACAGCCAATGGCTCATGGACCAGCACTGGTCCACGGACTACCATTTTGAGTGGCATGACTCTATTTTTGTTCCAATATATAATTTGTTCCAATATATAATATTTTTTCTATTATAACTCATCTCCAATTTACAAACAGACAGGGATTTGAATACAAACTGGAAAGGGTAAAAATTAGTCTGTAAAAAGATGTGGATCCATAATGTGGATCCCAAGGTGGATTCACAATGATCAAGAGAGAAGGGACACCCAGAGAATGGCCAAAAGTTGCCACCACGTCCTGTTGATGTGGTTCAGTGATTATTCGTGTCATTTTCCTTATAGTTGTACTCAGTACACATGCCTTTATCTTCTTTTTCCCTTTGAGAGTTGTTGTGGTGTTAGCAGCAAATCAGTAAATCCTCAGCTGAACTTACATTGGAGCCATGGTTTCCCAGGTTGATCTTAGGAAGCCATTATCTTGTCACCTCATCCCTCCAGCTGCAAAAAGGCAATAGCAAACTTTGGAGCACATTGACTTTGCCTGGCAGAGAGTACACCTCTCCTGAATAAAACAGACTACAAGAGGCTGCATTAAAAACAACAACACAGTGGTCTAATTATATCCAGGGTTTTGATTTGTTTGTTTAAAAAAATACTTAACTAGTAAATAGCCTCCCTTGCCTGACATCAACTTTAAAAACAGTGCCTTACCTACCCGCTAGTGTCTCAAGGCTTGGAATTAATTTCAGAGATGAGACATACATTTGAGTGACACCACAACACTTTAAGATGCTTTAAGACAGATGCAGAATGGTCTATCCCCAGTTTAAGATGGAGAGTAAGCATGTGACTTCATAAATGTCTTTTGAATGACGAATTTGTTTTCCAAATTTAAGACATGGGTATAACCTTTCTCAGACACCCATTATCTTTGGTTCCACAATTTTCCTTCTGATGGATCAGGACACCTGGTTGACAAAGTGAGATTTCAGAAATCTAAGGAAAGATGAAAACCTTGCTAAAAACATAAGCAAGCTCCCACTCTCAATAGCTGTAAACAGTAGGATTTGTCTGAAATAAGGGTTCAATGGGTGGCAGAATCATGGATGTGCATGTGAGTGCCACTCCCTGAACATCCCCCCACATGAGGTGCAAAGGCCCGCAGAGGGCTTTGTAATTACATTTGGCTGAACATGGTTATGGAGCTTTCATGTCTGACAAGCTGATAAGGCAAGGTTGATAACACAATTGGAA